TTCTCCCTCTCCCTCCCCACCTCCCTCCTCAAGATGGCGTACAATCTGATACAGGCTATACATATAAATTCCTATTAAACATATTTTCACATTAGTGATGTTGTAAGTAAGAATTAGAACTAATAGGAGGAACCATCAGAAAGAGAAACAAAACACAACAGAAGAAAAAAAATAGCAAACAGTATGCTTCAATCTGCATTCAAACTCCATAGCTCTTTCTTTGGATGTGGATAGATTTTCTATCACAAGGCCTCTGGAGATGTCTTAGATCCTTGTAATGTTGAGAAGGGTTAAGTTTATCAATATTAGTCATCACACAACATGGCTGTAACTATGTACAACGTTCTCCTGGTTCTGCTCACTTCACTCAGCATCAGACTATACAAGTTTTTCCAGGTTTTTCTGAAGTCAGCCTGTTCATCATTTCTTACAGCACAATAGTATTCCATTACATTCATATACCACAATTTGTTCAGCCATTCCCCAATTGAGGGGCATCCTCTCCATTTCCAATTCTTTGCCACTACAAAAAAAGCTGCTCTAAATATTTTTGTACATGTGGGTCCTTTTCCCATTTGTATGATCTCTTTGGGATATAGCCCTAGAAGTGCTATTGCTGGATCAAAAGGTAAGCACATTTTTATAGCCCTTTGGGCATAGTTCCAAATTGCTCTCCAAAATGGTTGGATCATTTCACAACTCACAACTCTACCAACAATGCATTAGTGTTCCAACTTTTCCATATCTTCTCCAACATTTATCATTTTCTTGTTTTGTCATGTTAACCAATCTGATAGATGTGATGTTATATCATGTTAATTCTTATGTCCATACCTTTCTCCGTGCTCTTATTTTCATTGGGAAACTGGCTCCTTTCACCTTTTCAGATCCTATTAATCCTTGACTGACTCAAGCCAACACCATCTCCTTGAGCAACCTCAAATCACTTCAGCCTAGTGAGCTTTCCCTCTCCCTAAATTCCTGTGGAACTTAACTATTAAATAGTTGGTTTTTGTTTCAGTCATGTCCAACTTTTTGTGACCCTATTTGGGGTTTTCTTGGCAAAGATACTAGTCTGTGGTTTGTCATTTCCTTCTCCAGCTAATTTTACAGATGAAGAAACTGAGGCAAACAGAATTAAGTGACTTACCCAGGGTCACATAGCTATTAAGTGAGGCCAGATTTGAACTCAGGAAGATAAGTCTTCCTGATTCCAGGCATGGTACTTTATCCAATGAGCCACCTAGATACCCTGTTGAACAGTTTAGCATTGAATTATTATCTATGTCTTGTATGAGACATTAACTAGACTCAGCTCCTTAGAGGCATATATACTTTTTCTTTGGCCTTTAGTGCTCTTAGCACTGTGCTGAGCACATAGCAAATGTTCAATAAATAGGATGACTCGATTTAGAATTGGAAAGAACCTTAGTATTCATATAGTGAGACCTTCCTCCCTTATTGTACATATGAGGGGAAAAAAGGCCCCAAGGGATTTGATTTGCCTGTGGTTACACAGTCTGTAAATAGTACATCAGAATTCAGGTGCACTTACAGACCAAATCTAGGGCTCTTGACAATCACTACAAGACATTGCCTACTTGGTTGATTGCTATCACTAGACAGAGTTGTGGGCTCCTAACTTAATGGAAATTTGCCACCTTTGAAGCCAAAGTAGGAAAAGGAGGCTATTAGAAAGGAGACTATATAAGACTGCCAAGGCCACAAATAACTATTCTATTTCTGGGAGCCTTTAGCTTTGACTTATACTGCAAGAGCCATGTAGTTATCAGTTCTTTTTAGAATTCCCATTGTGCTTTCTTATTTTTGTTGGATACAAATGATGGTTCTTTTTTCTCCTCAAGTTATTGCTATGTTACTCAGTCCCAAATCTCATTGCACCAACCCAAGCTGTATATTACCTCTAGAAGTAAATGGTTCTTTATACCCTGCCCTAACAGGGACGGCAGTCAGGGCAGGAGTTATGCAGTAAATCTTCAGAGAAGTTCACTTCCCCCTTTCCTTTTAATGAAATTTGTGTATGAATTATTTAGTCCCCATTATGGGTAATGGCATTTGTCGATTTGTTAGCTGACAGAATCATGAGCTATTGCATCTGTCATCATTTTAAAAGGAAAATCCAAGCAACTTCATGTTGGAAACAAATTTCCAGCTATAAACAGCTGCTCTGGAGATAATGTAAGCTCAATAGTCCCTGCTAAGTAGATATGGCATCTAAGTCCAGTCTCACTTAAGGAGCCTTTATAAATATGCAATGTTTTTTAGACACTAAGCTGCAAGTATGAGATTGCTTCATATGCTCAGCCTGAAGGGTGTTACAGACATAGGAGAAAACTGGATGGCTGTATATAATTCACCCTAATTATAATTAGCATTTATATTGCATTTTGTATTTTCTAAACACTTCCCTAAATCATTAACTAACCTCTGCTGTATTTTGACATTATTAATTCCCAGTTTACAGTTGGGAAAACAAGTACAAAGAAAGTAAGTTAATTTGTTCCATGCCAAAGTATCTCAGTGCAAAAGCTGACAACCCAGGACTTTTGATGATCCCCATACCATACAAAAGCACCCTACTCCTACTTGAACATAGTAGAGATCCATGGTAGGACCAAAAAAAAAAAAAGCAAGGTGAGGACAGAGGGGAAAGAGGTTCTAGCTCAAACATAGGAGAGGGCCCTACTTTATCCCAATTTTTAAAAATTTGGTTTGTGTGGGGAGGTGGGAGTCAGAAAGGGGATGGGAAGGTTGTTCAATATACCTCTGTCCAATACAATACACAAAAGATTAAACAATTTGAAGCCACCACAAGTATCTGCCTGCCATATGTTCAGAATCCTCAAATGAAAGATTCTCAGGAATCTTAGAAGTCTTAATAGCTGACATTTATATAGGACTTTAAGGTTGTAAAGCACTTTACATGCAATCTTCACAACAACCAGTCATTATGGTTATTCTCATTTTGCAGATGGGGATACTGAGGCTCAGGGGTCAAGCACACACATGGTCACAAGCTAATATCAGAGACAAGATTCCGACTGAGGTCTTTCCTAATTTCATCTAGTCCAATTGAAACACAAGTAGGAACTCCTATAACATCTCTAACAATGAACTATGGAGACTCTCTGCCTGAAGAGCTTCACTGATGGAAAGCTCATTATCCATCACTCTATCTACTGCCAACCCTGACAAGGTGTTGAATTCCACTTCTGGACAGCTATATTCATTGCTTGTAATTCTACCCTTTGGTCAGGCATGGGTTAGGCCCATCACCTAATACTGGGCCTGACTCATAGTAGGCTAATGATTGTTGAAAGATTGATCCCCTAAAGCACAGTCCCTAGTCCCCTCATTTTGGTCTGCTTCCTCTGGAAGTTCTTATTCACACATTTGAGTGCCTAAGTACCTGACACAGTGTTAGAACTGAAAATAGGCCCTGTCCCCAAGGAGCTTCCATTTTATTGGGTGCATATTATTAGATTATAGAAAATACATGCAAAGTAAATAATATTGGGGCAAGTGGTGGAAGTAGAAGGATCTTTCCTGTTTTGGAGGCCCTTTTGCTTCTCTTCCCCGATTTATCTCCCCTCTGTAATGAGGCCAATAAGTTATTGAGGAATCTTGTCAATGGTTGGGCTGGTGGTGTCCACTGCATCATAGTATCTAGAGCTGAAAATGATCTTAGAAGCCATCTAGTTCAGGTGTTCTAAACCTGAGGACCTCCTGGATAGATTTCATGGTGTCCAGTGAACTTTGACAGGAAACTAATTACACCTTTATTTTCACTAACCTCCAATTGAAATTTATCATTTCCTTACATTATGAATTCCAACAAACCAAAGTGACTCAAAAAAAGCTTAAAACTTCTTGATGTAACCCAACCCTCTCATTTTATAGATGAGAAAATTAAGCCACTAAAAGGGTAATTTCTCCAAGATCAAACAGATAGTAAGCAGATCCATCAACTTCAGAAAGAAGGCTCTTTCCACTATGACGGTCCCATATTAGGTGCTGCCTTTTCAGATCCCTCAAAATGCTAGTGTCTTTCCTCTGATTATTTCCAATTTATCCTGTGACTTCATACATAGTTTTCAAGTTGCTTCTCCACCCCACACCCTCCTCATTAGACAAAGGGTTCCCTGATAGCAGGGACTGTCTTTTGCTTTTCTTTGTATCCCCATTGCTTAGCACTATGTGCCTGGCACATAGTAGGTGCTTGATAAGTGCTTATTGACTGACAAGTAAAAAGAATGAAACAACTCTTACTGGAAAGGAGCTTGCACTGTAATGGGGAAGATAACAAGCGTCATATAAAAATACACACAGCAACAGTGTTAGGTAGGATGGCTCTCTGGGAGCACGGAGGAAGGATACTGGGAAAAATTCTGGTGATGTAAAAAAAAATTATAAAATTGTATTAAAAAAACTACTCAAAATCCATACAACGTAAATATAAAATTAATCAATAAAATTTTAAAAAATTATAAAATTGTATTAAAAAATTACTCAAAATCCATACAACGTAAATATAAAATTAATCAACATATACCAAATAGTTAACTACAAGGTAGTGTGGATGGAAGACAGACAGAAATGGAAAGATAAAGGGAGAGAAGAGGGAGGGAGGTGGAAGGAGAGGGGGAAAGCTACAGAGGAAGGAAGGTGGACTAGGGATAGATACACAAAAGCAGAGACAGTCCCTGCTTTCAAGGAGCTGGAAGGGAACAAGACCCAAAAAAGGAAAAACGGGGACCTGGGAGGAATACTCTGTTTCGGAAAGTTACAGGGAGAGGCCGACTGCCACGAAAGACAACAGGGCGCAAACACAGGTCTGGGACTTCCGGAGAGCTCGGGAGGCCGCGCACTCAACCAGCCCCTCCACTCCGCCCCCCCTCGCCCCCAGGCCAGACGTAGCCCGGCAACAGGGCGGGGCTTGGAGGCCAGAGGGCGGCCGGGACTCGCGCACGGAACCCTGGGACGCAGGGTGTTCCTTCCGAGGAAAGCTACCCCGTGCGCACCTAGCCTGGCTGCCCCTGGAAGTGACGTCCCTGAAAGAGACCGTGAAATCGGACCATGGCCCGTGGGGCCCTTGGGCCGCCGCTGCGGGAGACTCTGTCCCGCTGGGAACGGTAACGATCCTGATAGGGAAGGGCGGAATCACCTCCCTGATAGGCTTCACTGGTGTCGGATTCAACCGAATCCCAGACAGACTAGGGGAAGTCTCCAAGCCTAGCCAGGCCCGTCAGGCTCTGCTTCCGGTGGCGGCCTTAGAGACTTGTGGGCCGTCCCTCCCGCCCCTACCACTGCCGCATCGCCTCTGCGCGCATGCGCTGACACTGGCTGCAGAGGCGCTGTTGGGGGCGTTTCCCCAAGTGCCCCGCCCTCGAAGGCAGGGAGCTGTTCCCACTTCAGTCCTCGAGGATGGTCCTTCAGGATCTCGTTACCTGCCTGTGTTTGGCCCAGGGCTTAGCAGAGCAGGGAAGGGGATTCCAACACTACAGTGTGGCCTAACTTGCCCTTAATAACAATAATAATTAATGATAATAATAATAGTTCGTATTGCACTTTTACAAACGTCTCATTTTGTCACAACCCTGGGAGAGAGGTACTATTATTATCCCCATTTTTACAGGTGAGGCAGACTGAAGTAAAGTGGCTTGTACAAGGTCATACATATGGCTAGTTTAAGTGTCTGAGGCTGAATTTGAGCTCAAGTCTTCCTGAGTCCAGGTCCGGATTTCTCCATCCACTGTGCTACCCGTGTCCTTCAAAGAACGGGGTCCTTGTAGGGCCCTCCCCCCAACTCTCAGGAAAGAAGGAGGGGGTACAGTGTGATTTGTTGGGCCTGAGGATTCCCCACAATAGACTGGTTAAGGTTCACAGACACTGGGGATTGGAAGGAAACTTCACGAATACTATATGTATTCATGTATGTGTGCCTGTACATATACACAATTTCATAAAGAGCTATATATAATACATAAGATTAACAAATGAACATGTACATACACATACATATATGTAGGGTGGATTTTAGTGTGTATAAGGAAGATTTTGTTATTCCTTTTTAGATAATAGTTCCAGGATCCTACATAATATTTCTCACCATCATGGTTGAAAACATCTCCACCATGATTGTGGGGTAAGATATAGGGATGACACAATGTATGCCTGCGCTGTGCTAGGTCATGACAATATTGCTAAAGTTAACCTGTGAGCTTAATGTTGGCAATATGCCGTCCTCTTTGTCTGTTGCCCTATAAGGCAAGGGGGCACTGGTCAGTGAGTGGGGGAACCCATTTTGGGATTTGGGTAATGCATAAAGGGATGCATGTACCTGCCTTGATTAGCCCCCATCAAGACTTTGGTGGAAATCTGTGTGTTTGCCTCAACTGGCCCCCATTGAGGCTTAGGGGATGAGGAGTTATACTCCTGTTCTCAACCGCTACTGTGAGAAGTGTGATTAGGGAATGCTGTAGGAGTTGTTGCTCCCATTATCAGCAACCCTTTTGAGAAGACTAGACTAGAATAAAGTAAGCTTATTTAACCCCTCCGATGCTGTCTTTCTGACTAGATCAAAAGTGAACCTGTGCTAGAGCACCTGTTAGTTGTTAGGAGCCCTCCTGCGTTCTCCTGCCCAATGAATGGTATTAACCTGTGTGTTTACCTGTGAAACAGCATATATACACACAATACTTATATGTGGAGAGGCTACGCAGTATCCTGGATAGCTGTGTGTCCCTTTGCCTCAGTCAATAAACCTTTATTAAGCACCTACTATGTGTTGAGAGATAGAGTGTCCTGTTAATAGAACAGCAAAGAAGCCAGTGTCACAAGATGGAAGAGTATGTGTTGGGGAGTATAATGTAAGAAGACTAGAAAGTTAGGAGAAGGTAGGTTACAAAGGGATTTGAATGTCCAACAGAGGATTTTGTATTTGATCCTAAAGGTAATAGAGATCTATTGGAGTTTATTGATTGGGGTGGGGGAACAGTTTCCTTAGTTGTAAAGTGGGGATAACAGTACCTACCTTGCTGGATTGTTGTGAGGATCAAATGAGATATTTGTGAAGTACTTACTACCGTGCCTGGCTCTTAGTAGGTGCTATGCAAATGCTTATTTCTTTCTCTCTCTCCTGCCTTCCCTTCCCTTCAAGTCCCAGTCTGGCTGTGTGACCTTAGGCGAGTCTGGTTAGCTCTGAGTTGCTATAAAGGTGTATGTCTGTATTAGTAGGGGGAGTTTTTTCACCTGAGAGTTCCCTGTACTGATAAAATCATAGGTTTAGTCCTTATCCTTGTGCAACAATGGAGAGATATGTGAATAAAGCATTTATTAAGTAGTTACTATGTACCAGGCACTGTGTTAAACTCTGAGGATACAAAAACAAGCTATAGTACCTATGTTCAAGCTTATATTCTAATGGGGGAAGGTAGGGGTGCTAAAAAGGAATAGTGGTGGTGGTAGGTGAAAGAGGTGGAGTTAGTGTTCAGGCAGGAGGGAGAATAATCAAAGGAACTAAGAGTCATCTTAAAAAGTTTAATTCTTAGTCCTGGACGCAAGTTAGGGACTTGAAGTTGGTTTTTTAGACCGAAAGGAGGGATCCTTAGATGAATGAAAAATTTTTACTTCATGTGTCAAGTTCTGAACATGGATGGGAGATTTTTCTGTTGTTATTGTAAGAGACTAATGAGTATAGCCTTCAGATCTAGTTTGATATTTCTCTTCTTTAAATCCCACAGGGAGCAAGCACAGCTGAAGACCAGTGTCATTGACTGGGATACAGAAGCATGGCAGAGGGATTCAGATTTTGCTGGTCTGCATCGGGTCGGGGGTGTTGATATGTCCTTCATTAAAGCGGATGATGTCAGAGCCTGTGCCTCTCTAGTGGTGCTCAGCTACCCCAAGCTTGAGGTAACGTCCAGTTGGAGAAGCACTATAAGTCCCCAGCCTGAATTAGGATGTGCCATAGGGGCATAAGAAAGAAAGGCCAGGGCAGCAGCAAAAAGAGTCTGTTTTTTTTTTTTTAATTGAACCCTCTGTTTTAAGATAGCAGGCACTGGAAGACAGTGAGCATGAGATCAACTGGGCACTTTTATATTAATGAGGGAGTTCTGCTTACATTTATGTTAAAGAACAATATGTACATGGTCAGATAAAGCTATAGCAATGAATGAGGCTGCTTAAGATAGGTATGGGGTGGTAGCTCAGAGTTTGTTTTAATTTGCATTTTTCTAATCAGTAGTGATTTAGAGCATTTTTGTCATATGACTAGAAAGCTTTGATAATTTCATCTGAAAACTGCCTGATCATATCCTTTGACCATTTATCAATTGAGGAATGGCTCTTATTTCTATAAATTTGACTAATTTGAGAAATGAGGTCTTTATTGGAGAAACTTACTGTAAATTTTTTTTCACATTTATGATTACTATGTATTTCCCTCCATCCTATCTTTCCCTCTTTATCCTACTCTCTCTCTCCTTTCACCCTGTCCATTTCAATTAATATCAATTAATTATACTTATTACTTAAGATTTTTATTTGTCAGGAAATCACATTAATGTTAAAAATTAATTTGCTAAGTGATAAAATTTTTAATATTTTTCAGGTTTTCTTACGATTTACATTTAGTTAATGGGTTGTATTACACTTCTTGTCTCAGTTTATCATCAGCTATTCTTCACTGCACAGTCCTATGGGACAAATTTCTATTCTCAAAAATACTTTTTTTTTTTTAATTGGGACATAATCCAGAAACTGCAATCAGCAAATACTTCTTTATGAAGTTACCTTCAGTAAAAGACTTTCCAGCAGCAGCAATTTCTTTAGAAATCTGAAAACTAACCTTAGTAGCCACCTCATTTTCTGAGTTTACTTTCTTGAAAAACCATTTTTCCCCACTGAGATTTTTCAACAATTTGGATGCTTTAATTTGTTTTCCATTGGTGTCCAAGTTGCTTGTCAGAATATTTTGATTCGAAATGGCAATGAAGATGTTATTCCTTGGGAATAGCTGTTACTTCTTGGCAAACAGGCACAATATTTTGTCTCTTGTGTAGGTAAACAAGTATCTATTTTTCCACTCCGGATTAAACACTTTAAGTTCTGATTCAATCTTTCTTTCTTTTTTTCACCCATTTTATAAAATCACCCCAAGAACTTTAACTTTAGAACCAAAAAATCTCCACAGCAACTGCTCATATATAAAGAAATACTGAGCTGAGTGTCTGGCCTTGGAGAGAGCACCAGACACTCATGTAACCTGGAGGGTGGCCATGCAGTGAGGGAGGGGGAGAAGCCCTGGTGTTATTGCCACTCGTAGCATAGCGGGTATCAGCTGTGTTGACATATCTGCCCTCACTTGGTCCCTGTTCAATGCCAGTAACAACCAAAAACACAGCAAAAAGATATGATTCTCACTTCTCTGACTAGAGACAGGCTAACGATAGTTAGTTGCTGAGGCTCATGTGACAAACAGGAGAGAGTGTGCAGTGGCAACCCACCAGCCAGTTACATGATGGGCACAGTAGTGGCTAGTGGAAGGTGGGTTAAGTGGGGTACAAACAAAGCACTTGTTACATTTTTACTTTCTTTTAACCCTCTACATTTTTTGAGGGCTACATGAAATCCTTTGGAGGGCTGTATGTTTTACAGGTGTTAGGGTAAGATAGAGCAGGGTAAGATAGATTTCTATACCCAATTGAATGTGGATGTTATTCTCTCTTTGAGCCAATTCCAATGAGAGTAAGTTTCAGGCACACTCCTCCCACCTCTACCACCTTCCCCTCCACTGTAAAAGCTCTTTTGTGCCTCTTTTATGTCAGATAATTTACCCTATTCTACCTCTGTTTTCCTCTTCTCCCAGTGCATTCCTCTTTCTCATCCCTTAATTTAATTTTATTTTTTTAGATAATCATCCCATCATATTCAACTCATAGCCATTCCCCCTGTCTATGTATACTCCTAGTTGCCATAATAATGAGAAAGTTTTTAGGAGTTATACGTATTATTTTCCCATGTAGGAATATAATAATTTAAACTTACTGAATCCCTTATGATTTCTCTTTTCTGTTTATCTTTTTATGCTTCTCTTGAATCTTGCTTTTGAAAAGTTGTACTTTCTATTCATCTCTGGTCTTTTCATCAGGAATGCTTGAAAGTCCTCTATTTCATTGAATGTCCATTTTCCCCCCTGAACGATTATACTCCGTTTTGTTGGTTGTAATCCTAGCTCTTTTGCCCTCTGGAATATCATGTTCCAAGCCCTCTGATCCTTTAATGTAGAAAATACTAAATCTTATCCCGACTGTGGCTCCACGATATTTGAATTGTTTCTTTTTTTGCTGTATTTTCTCTTTGACCTGGAGTTCTGGAATTTGGCTATAATATTTCTGGGAGTTTTCATTTTGATCTCTCAGGAAGTGATTGGTGGATTCTTTCAATTACTATTTTACCCTCTTGTTCTAGAATATTAGGACAGTTTTCCTTGATAATTTCTTGCAAGATAATGTCTAGGTTCTTTTTTTTGATCATGGCTTTCAGGTAGTCCAATAATTGTTATATTTCCTGTATCTATTTTTCAGGTCAGTTGTTTTTCCAATGAGATATTTCACATTTTCTTTTTTCTTTTTTTTAAAATTCTTTTGGTTTTGTTTAATTGCTTCTTGTTTTCACTTGCCCGGTTCTAATTTTTAAGGAATTATTTTCTTCATTGAGCTTCTGTACCTCTTTTTTCTATTTGGCCAATTCTGCTTTTTAAGGTTCTTTTCTTTTCAGTGAATTTTTGTATATCTTTTCCCATTTGGCCAATTCTGTATTCATTAAATTCTTAATATGTGCAAAACATAGTGCTTAGTGCAAGGGGTACAAAGATGAAAAAATGACAAAGTCCATACCTTCAAGGAGATTATAGTCTAATAGGAGAGACAGTGTTTAAAAAAAAAGGCATTTCTATCTTGTATGATACTTATTTGTCCCACGATAGAGATAGCTGAAAGATCCTGACAGAGTGTTTGAGAAAAAAAGAGGAAGAAGTAATTGCTTTCAGCTGGGAAAAATCAGGGAGGGCTTCATGGAGGGAGTGACACCAAAGCTGAATCCTGAAGGATCTCAGCTAGCTAGAAGGAGGGACTTCATTCTAGGATCAGGAGGTGGCTTACACAAAAATACTAATGCCAGAGAATACCGGATGAGAGCAGGATCAGCTAGTAGTCCAGTTTGGCAGGAATATAAAATACATGAAAGAGTCTAGTGTGAAATAAGTCTGGAATGTTGATTTGAAGTCAGATTGTGGAGGACCTTAAATGGTGAGCTTAGAAATGTGTATTTTACCCTATAGGCAATAGGGAAGTAATTGAGTAGGAAAGTTACACGGTCAGACATAGGTGTTAAGAAGGTTATTTTGGCAGCATTGTGACGGATGGATTTGAGAGAGGAAAGACCGGGAGTAGGGAGAGCAGTTTGGAGGCTATTACTGTTGTCTTAGGTGATGAGGTCCTGAATAAGCTGGTGGAAGAATGAACAGGCCTTAGCAACTGACTGGATATGTAGGATTCTAGTCCTGGGTTAACATCAGAAATAGTTGGGGGTGGAGTATTAATTGAGTTCAGTTTTAAACATTCTGCATTTGTAATTCCAGGTGGATAGTGTCACACACACACACACACACACACACACACACACACACACACGCTATCTAACAGATAATTGGAGATGTGGGACTAGAGCTCAGGGAAGAGATTGAAGTTGGGCATATTGATTTGGGATTCATCTGCATGATATATTAGTGGAACCTATAGGAGTGAATAGATCACCAGTGCAGAGTATAGAGAATAGAGAGGGCGAAGGACAGAGCTTTGGGGTACACTCACAGGGGATGGAAGAAGTTGATGAACCAGTGAAGGAGACTGAGAAGTAGTCATATCTGTCAAAGAACCAGTAGAAAAGAGTGTTATAAGAGCCAAAAGAAGAGAGTGTTGAAAAAGAGAGGTTTGCCCACACTGTCAAATGTTGTTTAAGTGAATAAAGACAGAAAAAAGGCTCTTGATTTTAGCAGTTGAGACGTCATTGGTGAATTTGGAGAGAATAGTTTCAGTAGAATGGTGGAGTTGGAAGCCGTTTTGCAAGGGGTTGAGGAATAAGGTAGTGAGGAAACAGAAGTGTAGGAAACTCTGGAAATATAGCAGGGAAAGGAAAGAGAATAGCAGGGCAAGGGGAAGGGTAGGCGGGGAGGAGGCACCAGTAGAGGAGATTAATGATGGGAAAGAGAGAGAAAGAGCATAGTCCACGTATTAAGTTCCTGGAGAGGATGTATCAAGAACATAGGTGACGGGATCAGCCTTGATAAGGAGAGCCATGGTTTCCTGAGACTCCTGGAGCAAAGGAAGAAAAAATGAGGAAGGAATTACAAAGGTCTTGAGCTGTGTAGGGTGGGAGATAAGAGATTTATAATGTTTGACCCGGGTTTCTCAATAAATTACAAAATGAGATCTTCTCCTAGGGGTGGAAGTTGGGTATTTGAGGAGAGAGGTGGCTTTGAACAGGCACTAAAAGGGAATCAGAACTCTAATTTTTATTTGTTTTTGTAGGATAAATGGGTCTGAGGTTGTACTTTAAGATTGTTTCAATTTACATTTATCAAGGAGATACAGCATTTTTCAATTTGTTACTTTACTATTTGGATTTTTTTTTTTTTGCTGTGAATTGACTTGGTATTCTAATTCAACACACCTTGAGCAAATATCTGCTTAGAAAATCCATACAGTTCTAGCCCTTAAAATTTTGTATCCCAGAATCAAAAAGTTAGAGAACTTGTCTGAAGTCCAACTTAGATCTGACAAAGGATTCATTCTATAGCATTCACCAACAGGTATAAAATGGTTTAGGGGGAAGCTTCAAATCACTATTTAAAA